AACATGGTCTGGATAGCCCACAGACATAACATAAAAATTTCTAGGACCCATAATTGATCTCCTTTAAAAGTAAACGTAAGAGTTTTAGTCACTGTTGAGTTGTGGTGAGCAGATGCCATTTTAAATTCTGGGTAGTCGGAGTTGCTCTTAATTTCTGAGAGGGAATTGCCACTAGAGTTTAAATTTAATGACTGTAAGTGGGAAATTCCCAAATGTACAAATGGGCTGCAGCAAAAGAAGTCAGTGAAAATGCAGCTAAATGGAGATTTTACACAGTGAGTTTCACTGGCTACTTTTGAACCCTGTTCTCCTCCCGCTAGTGGWGGGATGTCGTCATTTCATGGGTAAAATAATCAACACGAATTATGGGAGATGTAGTTTATGGTCAATGTTGTCTTTAAAGCAGCACAAGCTTATTTTTAAACAGTGCATCTTTGAAGCTCATGCGGGCTGAATAAATTGCCACGGCGGTCCACATTCGTCCAGCATGCCWTAAGTTTGACACGTGTACTGTAGAATGTTTTGGTTTACAAAAGAGTTCATGGTTGACTCATTGACTGTGAAGTACTTACGTTCTGTGGCTGTTATCACAAACTGTCAGCTCTACACCACCGTGCTTAAGCATCACTTTGGAATAATTCTCTCTTCTCCTCAGGCACGTGTATACTACGAGGAAGCTATGAGCGTTTCTGTTGACAGTTTCTCTGACATTCCACTCCTTGTGGCTCTCTTCACCAACCTTGCTGCCATCTACTTAAAGCAACGTATGAATGACAAACTGCCCCACATTCTGGAGAAGGCCAGCGGCCTCCTCCTCTGCCTTCCCAGCCACACATTCACATCCAAAGATGAAGTAGAACTACTGAAACTGCTCCTGAGGAGATCAGTCATCTTGGGGGACAAACACTTGGAGGCTCGTGTCTGCTACCTCATCTCCAGCCTTTCCCTGCTCCTGAGGAAGGCAGATGATGCTCTTCCCTTTGTTGAGCGACTCCAGTTCTTATCAGCGACATTGTCAACCACTGAGGGGGGGCCTATTGTACCTGTGGACCTTAACTGGCTCTTGAGCTGGCTCTATCATCGCAAATACATGCCTTACTTAGCCTTAGCCTCTCTTAGCTTAGACCCCAGACAAGACCATTCACTCAATGATGCCTTTCTGAGGATCGAGTTGTTTATCAGAAACTCTGTTCGTCTGAACCCGAGCTGGAAACCAGGAACCTCCCTCCTTCCTGCTCAGATTGTGGTTTACCTGCAGCAGGCCCTGGCRGTGGCCGGGAAAGGGGATGACATGAAGACGCAAAGGGACTTGTGTTTGGGCCTGGCTTCGGTTTACCAACAGTATGGTGCACTCGATAAGGCTGTGCACTGTGCCCAACAAGCCATGGAGACAAGTAGACAAATCAATGAGGAGGATGGCTTTGAGGCATCTGTGCTCCTCGGGTGGCTGCTGGTGCTGACGGGCCAGGCTGAGCRAGCTCAGAGTATCCTTGAACCACTGCTAACGTCCCTGCAGGTACAACAGCTGATGACAAACAAAAAAAGCACTTTTTAWTTTCMKAATGAACATTTKTATAAAAGAGCCTTTGCGTGAATCTCTCTACAGAGCACAGACAGTCCCACTCAGCGAGGAGTGATCCATAACCTCTTGGCTTTGTGCCTGAGGCATGAGGGCCATATTCGAAAGGCAGGCTGGCATCTCCACTCTGCCCTGGTGATCTCCAGGGAAAGTGGAAACCAAAGGAATCAGGCCCTGGCTCTGGCCAACCTTGGCTGTCTGGCGCTGGATGCCGGAGCATCTCTGGTTGCGGAACGCTTCCTGGTCAGGTYAGCTGCTCGTCTTACTAGGATAAAGTCCATACTGAAATGTTCTGWCAGAAAATAGAGTTGACAAAAAACATCTATCTTCATGGTGCTTATTTTCTTTATACTAGATCCCTGTGCCTTTTTCTGGATCTCTGGGAGAGTCCAACAGATGAGGAGCATGTTCAGACCTAYCTTTGGCTTGCAAGATGCTACAAGGACAGAGGAAGGAATCAGGACATCAGGGCATGCTATGAAATGGGATTGTTAATTGCACTGCATGCCAAAAATTTGCACAGTGGGTATCTAAAAATATCATGCAAGTGTGTTTCAAATATAATGTCCTGATGCATCTCAAAAATCCAGGTAGAAAAGTAAAAAAAAAAAAAA